GAGGCTAAAACATATAAGGAACGGCTGCTGGAATTGGGTATGTCTAGTTTAATGAAGAGAAGGACGAGGGGTGACATGATAGCAGTGTTCCAATATCTCAGAGATTGCCACAAAGAAAAAGGAGTCAAGCTATTCTCCAAAGCACCTGAAGGCAGGACAAGAAGTGATGGAAACTAATCAAGGAGAAAAGCAACCTAGAACTATGAAGAAATTTTCTTACGGTTAGAACAATTAATCAGTGGAACAACCTGCCTCCAGGAGTCGTGAATGCTCCAACACTGGAAGTTTTTAAGAAGAGAGTGGACAACCATTTGTCTGAAATGGTATAGGGTTTCCTGCCTGAGCAGGGGGTGGGACTAGAAGACCTTCAAGATCCCTTCCAACTCCGTTATTCCATTCTATTCAAGATTAGAGCTGAAAAGATGCTTTGGAATATAAAGGAGAATTAGAGGCTATCAAATCAAGAAATCAAAATCATATGCAGATGTTATAGTTACTCAAATGATTCTTTAGAATTGATAACAATATATAAAACAGTATGGTTTATTATCAGGATATTTATTTAAATAAAACCAAGATCCAAATGTTGACATGGAACCTACCTGAAATGAAAGAAAAATATTTACAGCAAAAAAGAGCTTTAATATTACTGTTAAAAGACCAGATATTGATTATTTATTTAACAAAAATGATAAAGATTTATTTAAAACAATTTAATTGTAAGATAGACATGAAAAATAAGATAGACATTTCAGGGTGGAAATCCAAAAGTTTCTTTGTTTTAAAATAATATTATATTTTGTTAGAATCTTCTAAATGTACTGCTTGATGTTCACGCATCAAGTAGTTATTGCAATTTATTCATCTTGGTTTATAATCCATAATTTGAGCCATATTGGTTAGAAATTATTTCATAATAACCTGACTTAAATAGCTTATTTAATATTGACATAAATTTTAAATTTATATAAAACAGTCCAACTTATTTTAATGTCTTTTTAATTTTTTCATTAATTTTAAAATGCTTTTAGATGTTTTTATCTTCTGATTTTTGTTTTTCTTTATATTTCCAAAATTAATACATTTGAAGAAGAAAAGCGTAAAACAATTTCTATATTACATGTAGCTTCCTTTGCTGAGGCACTTATAAACAGTCTTTTTGGTATCAAATATACACATATTTACATATATACGTGCAATACAAGAAAACCATGTTGTGGGTACTGCATTAAATACGGAATATAAGAAAAAAGCCTGTTTGGCATGCTACTTATGGAATATTTTTTAGCAGGAGGCTTATTAGACATCCATGCTGTGATCGAGTTAAGTATCAAGACATTCTTCTCCCTCTCATTTTAAGTTTTTGAAGCATCAACACAGCTGTTTTTATATTGTATAATGCACTGACTGCAGTTTGAGCAAAATGGTCATTCCCTTGTCTCCAAGAGCAACAAACCCACTGAAGACCTCTGACTTGCAATTTCATGGGGAGCAACTGTCTGGAGCATTTGTGGGGTAATCATGTCGTCTCCTTGTCCAGAGAGACATTAGAAAGAGTCAGTCTAATTCTTCATTACACCACACTTCGCTTTTCTTGCAGTTTTCTTCAGTTTGCCATTTCTACCCCAGAAGTCCATTTTTATCCTTTCCTATTTGTATGTCTCTGGATTGATCTGGTATGGGAGATGTTGAATCCAGTGCTTAATCTACAGGAACACAGTTTCAGATTAGGAGACTGAGTACAGTCTGGTGGTAAACTGAAGAAAACTGCAAGAAGAGCGAAGTGTGGTGTAATGAAGAACTAGATTTGACTCTTTGCAATTTCTCTCTGGACAAGGAAAGGACATGATTACCCACAATGTAATTGCAATGTAAAACAAAGAGGGGTGAGTGAGTAGAAAAAAAGTATTTATTTCAATTGATATACATCGGAGAATGTACATATCAAGTTAGAACACAGGCGGTAAAAATGACAACTATAGCATGCTGTATCAAAACAGTAGTTTTGAATTATTTCATCTTAACATTTTCAATGTAAAGCGCCATAATTTTTATTGCTTTTATAACCACATATAGGAGCGGGCACAATTTGCCTTAGATTGGTCTCTGCTCACCAAGTTTCTCACAGTAAGAGAAGAGAAAGAAAACTAGAACATAAAAAAGCACTTATATTTATATCCCATTTTTCATTCAGGAGTTTGAGGTGCTACAGTTAGAACTCCCTGAGATAAATTGGGCTGATGGAGAGTAAGTAGCCCTGTGAGACTCAGTGGTTGAAAATGATGAGAACCTGGGTTTCCCTATTCTCAATCCTATGCCTTAACTACAACACCACATTGATTCTATTAATACCAAAGAAATGAGCTAGGACAAATGCAAATAGAAATAGGAAAAAACATGAACAGGACATAACATTGAATACTGACATGCTTTTGTAATAATGAGAGGTCAAGCAGCAGCAACACTCAAAGTTGCAATTAAGTATTTATAACCTTGTGAGCCAGCCATTGATTTTTCTAATGCTCTTCTCCCAGTTGAGGAATCAGTTTAATGTTTTCTTCTAATTTTCTAGGGCAATTTTACTATATTTTTATGTTATTGGTCACTTTGAGAGATCAAGCTATTCAGCAGTGTCACAAGTTATGCAACAAATTAATTTAATTGTGATTCAAATTCTCTTTTAGGAATGCATACTTCAAAAAATAATTGAAAAGGACTTTACAACAATTCTCCCATTGAGTGATTATAAACTCACTCATAAGTATGAACAAAATATACCCTGAAACACTGTAATAGATACCTATCCTTTGGGAAATGGAGAACACTTGGGCACTGAAAGAGATTTAGGTTTGTCATTGCTCCAATGCATTGTCTCACAGTCCTACACTGAATACATACAGAACAATGATGTGTAAAATGCATTAGTTGACCTTGCCTGGTTTATTTAATCTCTTATACTATAGTTCAGCATCAAACTCTGACACTCATTCCAAATCGATTTAGAGAATAGTCTTAAGAAATATGTAATGAGAATGCTTTGTACAAAATGAAGGAAAAAAGTAATCTGCCTGAAATTTAACAAGGACGTATTCTATACTGCAATCATTACTATCCCAATTTCATCACATTGTCTTAAATCAAAGTGGCATATTTAAATTTTTATAAAAGCTTAAAATCACCAATATTGACTCCATATAGATCATTCTCTATATATTCTTCAACCTTTCATGTCTTTGCTTATAATTTACTTCACTCCTGTTCAAACAGAAATGTTATAGTTGCTTAGCTTCTTCCCATGCTAAGACATTGAAAGATGTTTCTTACTCCATATCAAGCAATAATTGATATCCTACTACGCCAAAAATCATTTCTGAAACCCTCAATCAGATGGACTTGGCATACCACTTATACAAATACTCTTACTGAAAATCCTCAATTATAACTATTAGCAGGGTAAAAACATCATGCTAGGTGAAACAGTGTATAAGTTTGTGCCTTGTTTTAATTTTTACTTAATATTAATTCTTTTCCATTTAATATACAGTAAGCACTTTTTTGTATCACAAACCTGATAGATTAAACACTGGTTTCTGCTTTAACTAGTTTAACATTCTTTATATTTTATTAAACGTTATTCATTAATATGAGGATCTTAAGAAGTGAATATGAAAGTTTCCAAGCATGAATGTCTCAGTTTGAGGTTTTGCCTTTAAACATTCATAAACCATATTCAGCCATTTTCTGAAAATAGTCACCACATGCTGTCAAAATTCTAAATATGCCCCATGCTTACAAAGGGAGAAAAATATTGTTCTAAAGCCTTAATTTTATAAGGATGGCGTTGCAGCATATGGTAGTCCTTAACTCATAATTATTTGTTTAAGGACCATTCAAAGTTACAACTGTGCTTTAAAAAGTGACTTACAATTAATCCTTGCACTTATGACCCAAATATTATCATGATTTGGGCACTTAGCAATTGACATGTAAATTGACATGTATTTACGACAGTTGCAGTGTCCCAGAGTCACATAACTGCCATTTGTGGCTTTTTCAACTGGTTTCCAACAAGCGTAGTCAATGAGAGAAGCTAGATTTGCTTAATGAGCATGTGATTCGCTTAATGACTGCAGTAAAAAAGTAAATAAGATTAGGTGCAACCCATTTAATGACTAAACCATTAGTGATAGAAATTACAATCCCAATTGTGGCTGTAAATCAAGCACTACCTGTAACAGGTTGCAGCCCTTCACACAAAAGTGGGAACCAATTCATATATTTAACTATAGCAATGTTTCTGCAGTTGCCCAAATATTACAAAAGATCATGACAAACTTTTCTTTTCCCCCTGAATTGATAGCGTGACTACAAGACAGCCAAATTCTGAATGCCTATCTGTAAAAATAAAGTGTATTTGGGAGATCACAGCAGCTATTTCAGCATTCAGTATTTTATAAAATCTAGCCTAGAAAATGTGATATTTTTCCTTAAATATTAAAGAAATAGTATTGAATCCCCCTCACTATTACTAGTCTAAGGAAGTTGGCACTTTTAACCATTGGAGAAAGATAAACACATACAACTGTTAATTAAGTAACCAGTAAATAATCTTGTGAAGGCTCTTATAGAGACAGCATGTGTAACCCACAACTGTATTATGATACCAATTAAAAGCAGGTTAATAAAATAATTAGATTAGCATGGGTGCTAGTGCAAAATACCAGTAAGATATACTGAAATTTTGGGTAAATTGACTTAGAACTTTTGGAATCCAATGTTTTGATGTATTTTACAACAAACCTAATCTTTATATTATGAAAAACTTTCTTATAATTAAAAAAACATTTCAGTCAATAATGAATTCAATCTAATCATATGCCATGAACAAATATCTCCAGTATTCCCATACAACTATATGAGTTTCTTAATTTCTGTTTTGCAAGAGGAATTCCTGATTTATAATAAAGCATAATTATATATATAAAATGAGAGCTCAGTAGGACAGTGCAGACCATTTTTTAATATGTCCAACATGCATTTTACATAGTATCTAATGTTTTCTTTCAGCAATTTTTTGAGATAAAATGAGCATTTGCAAGATAACTATAAACACTAAAAATAAATCCTGTATTTCTTTGCCAAAGCCCAATTCATAATAAATTTTGCCCAAGTTGTCATATACAATCGTATTTTCTTTAAATATTCTTCAAATATTTTGATTCACTTTTTCTGGATTGGTGATATAATTTGCACACACATTTTTAGTTAGCAAGATTAAATATGCCCAATTCCAGTATTAAATATTATAACAGAGGCACATCCTAGGAGCTATCTAAAAATCAGTTAATCCCAGCTCCAGGGATGATACTCAACTGCTTTAAATAAAAGGCACTTTAACAACCTTAATCATTCTGGCCATCTCTCAAATGTCAACAAGGCTAAATACAAAGTTTAGGGGGAAAAAAAGTCTGTATAGATTTTCAACATGAGTACAATTCTAGTACCTAGATTGTCTGAGAATTATATATGTAGTTCTCAATGAGTGATACATTGAAAAAAGAATGTACTAATTATTATCTTCTATTAAATACTTTAAGTTCTATGTTATATACTGTACCTCCTAAATGTTGTTAAATGAAAAAACAGATGGAGGGAGGACAGAGATTGATATTTGATGGCAATAGAGGCAAAATTTATTTAGTTTTATATTTTATGGTAGTGTATAACATTTCTTTTGAAATGAAAGATTAATCTACGAGTTTCTATCTATACACCTCCAAAGGGAGATAAAACAGTTAATGAATATGACTAAGTAAGGACACTAAAGACAGCTTTCATTCATTCAAGTAACATACTACTTATTGATGTATATATTCTTTTCCAAATCATAACAGAGCACTAAAGCTTCCATATTTGAAAAGAACAAGATATACAATATAAAAAAATCTACAACAAATTTTCCATTAATGAACTATCATAACATCTTTTACTGTAAATCAAGTATCAATCAAATTTGGATATGAATCTATAGCTGAGCAACATGATAAAGTTCAACAATTATTTTACACCTTCTACTAAGTGTAGAAAAACTGTGAGGTCTTATGATCCAATGAGGATCTTTATATTAAAAAAAATATCTTTCGAATACAATGTTCAGTCTTAAATAAGTATTGATTGTCCAAGCATATTTTCTATAAAAATAATAATGGATGTATAAACCTTTGAGCAATAAATGGAATTTTTGGTTGAATACCAGAGTTTCGATCAAGTGCATATTATTTATGTACAGAACCCAAAAGAATCAGACATTTCTAGTTTTCAGTTTTTAAGGCAAGGACCACATCATAATCCAGGAGTAGTCTTTTGATTTTGTCATGAAACTTCTCTCTATACTGGTTGAAGTACATAATACTCTCCGGTTTCTCTTCAAACCAGAAATTGTCAAATTCATATGTCAAATAACCTGTGAAGACCAAAAAAATCAAACACTTGTTGTGAGGATATAATATTAGAAATAAGTAAATTTTAAAAAAAAATTTCCATTATTAAAACTAGTTACTTAAGTACATAAGAATAGCTTTGTGAATCAAGCCAAGGCTTGATTAAAATTGGAGAGAACTGAGGCTCAGGATCAACTGCCCTTGATAGATTTGTCTTGTATTAATTTATCTAATTTTTTTTAAGTTATCCATATTACCAACACAGCTTGTGATAATTAATTCCACAAATTAATTATGTGTGGGGTAAGAAATGCTATATTTTTTGCCTTTTCAAAGTAAGGCAAAATATTTGATTACAGCCATTCAATTATTGGAAATAAAGTTGGTTCACTCTCACTACGTCATACATGTTATAACTCTTGATCATCTTCTCCCTGGTTACTTCCCCTCCTCTCCAAGCTAAAGTGTCCTAAATGTTCCTACCTTTTTTAATGGAAGATATTTGATCTCCTAAATATTTCCAGTATTTCTTCCAGTTTTATAATACCACTTTTCAGATGTGGTAACTAATACTGCACACAATGCTATAGATGTGGCATACTATAGTTTTGCATGAATGTATTATTTATAGTTCTATATCCTTCTCTAAATGCAATCCTTAGAACTGAAAAATTATTTTAGATACATCCAAAATTTAGTCACCATGAATTTTAAAGAGCATTTTCCTCGTTTTGTGAAACTAATACAGGAAGTCCTCCAATTATAACCAATTGTTTAGCAACCATTTAAAGTTATAATGGTATTGAAGAAAGAGATTTACAACCAGTCCTCACATTTACATCCATCGCGGCATCCTCATAGTGTGATGTCTCCTGTGAGTGGGGCAGCACACATCACATTATCAAAATTTGGGTGCTTGGCAACCAGCATGCACTTAAGGTGGTTGCAGCGTCCCAAGGTCATGTGATCACCATTTGTGACCTTTCCAGCCAGCTTTGAACAATCAAAGACAATGGGGGAGCGGATTCACTTAACAACTGCAGTAATTTACTTAACAACTATGACAAAAAAGGTTATAAAATTGAGCAGGATTTACTTAGCATCCGCCTTCCTTAGCAGTGGAAATTCTGCCCCCAATTCTACCTGCATTTTCACTTCAACCTTCAGCGCAAAAGGGGCTGGCACCTACGCTACATGGTACTGGGGCCCACACCAGTGGTTTGGAACAGTTTCCTGACAAAGATCAGTCTAGCCCCTTCCTTGCTGGGTTTTTGGAAAACGGTGAAGATTGAATAACTTTGGGAGGCATTCTCTTAGCTTGCATATGATACCAAGGTTTTTCATTATTTTTTAATGTTGCTCCTTATCTTTATTATTATTTCTCGTTTGGGGTTTTAAACTAAGTTGGTAGCTGAGAGACATCTGGTTGTAGCAAAGTAGAAATCTGTTGAATGAATAAACTTTGCAACAAGTCTTACATTTTTCCCCAAATATTTCTATAGCAATTTAAACTGAATGGTACTTAATACGATAAGGAAAACTACTAATTTCTAAACAGATTGTGGAACAGCCTGCTCCAAAAATATAGAAGCCAGCCATCTCTCTAAAGGACAGTTGCAAATACTCACAGTAAAACTGATGGAAATCGTTCAGCTGAGGAGCACCAGGAACCAAGTTGTAAAAGTGGCTCTTTAAAAGTCCTTTAGTTAACAGACTGTAAGCCATCTCTGTCAAATTTATTCCAACGATTGCATAAGAGTATCTGCAATAAACAAACAAATGAATAAATGTTGCCTTCTTAATAGAATGAAACCTTCTCAATCACTTGTATATTATCTGGGGGTATTCCTAGAGTCATCCTTGCTAGGGTTTCCTATTGCTAACTTTGGTCAATCTATCAATTAGAAATAGTCCTTGCTTAATGACTGGCTGCTTAGTACCATTTGAAGTTACGTCAGACCCCCACCCTAGCTAATTACCACGAATTTTTGAAATTTGGACAGCTGCATTCTCCAGCCCATAGTCACCTAATTGCATTTCGGACACTTGGCAACCAGCTTGGATTTATCACTGTTTGCACAGTTCCATGGTCATGTGACCATAATCTTCAGTGGAGTTTTGTTTTGTTTTTTTGCCAGTTTTGCTACTTTCAGTTTCCAGCAAAAATGTCCATTGAGGAAAACAAGTTTGCTTAATGACCCTGTGGGCTTTCCCTTAACAACTATGGCATTCATTTAACAATCACAGTGTTCGCTTGATAACCATGGCGTTTGTTTAGCAACCACTGCAAAACTGTCATAAAAATGGGTAATTCCAGACTCGATTATCATCATAACTTGAGGACTACCTGTATCTCCTTTTCTGGTTCAAGCACTGATAACCTACATTAGAATACTGCAATGCAACCTAAGTGGGTCCATCCTTTATTTGGTTTGAAAGTTCAAGATGAAGCAGAATGCAGTGGCCAGGTTGCTGAGTAGAGCACATGGCCATGTACATTACACCTTTTGTTAAAGCATATACAAAGAAAATAATTTCTACTGTACAACTTAATGACTTACTTTTACAAATACTCACACATATATACATCTTTTAATACAGATGGTATCTGTGCCTTGAAATTAATGCTGGACAAATAAACCCATTATTACATTCAGACTTGGTTTTCCTCCATGTTTAAAAAAATAAGTAACTGAGATGCCACTTACCCAAGTTTTGGATGATTTGAACGAACAAGGATTTGACGAGCTTCATGAGGATAATGTTTACTAAAATATCTGAAAGAGACATAAAAATATTGTTCGTAATCATTGCACTGCAGTTAATTGCGGTACAGTATATTAAACTGAGTTAATAATTAAGATTAGCATTTCCTTGAAGACAAATTAGCATATCTGATTTGAACAAATAATAACATATTTTCCATTAACAGCAATAAATACATAGCCAATGTAATCTATAAAACTTTAACTTTAAATCATGGAAAAATATACATATACTTTATACTTACAGAAGATTAGTTAATCCCAGCATTCCCATTCCTCTGAAGTCTGTTTTAGGGTCATCACCTTGGAAACCAATATCACACCACTGCTTTGTGATTCTGGCCTTCAGTTTTTCATGGGGCATTAACAAATTCCAGAGCTGCACAAATATGCTTCTATTAATTTAATTTCTAAGATCATTTTAAGTAATTCTAATTTGTATCAAAAATTGATGCAATGTCTACTTTAATAAGCAAAATCATATCATTTAAGTACACACACACACACATACAAACCAATCATAGAAACGTTACCATAAGGTCTACTTATAAAAGTCTGCCATACCTACAAATCAAGAGTCCCTGGTGTACCATTTTCTCATTCACCATAAAACCTGGTTCATATATTTATTTACCTAACTAATTTATATGCTATCCATCTTATGACAACACTGGGAACTGAGGGACACGCAACATGGGCTTTGTGGTACCAACAACAAGGACTTTGTAATAGTGTTGTACTTGCTAGTTTTCTTGTGTTTTAATTTGTCTTATTTTTCTCTTTTTAAAAATTAACATTAACAATTTATTAGAACCTTCCAGGGTGGAATGTAAAAAGCTTTTTACTTAAGTAATTGAATCTTGTTAGTGCTGACTGTACAATGATACATTGTAACACATTCCTCCCACTGGACAAGGCATGCCCAGCGTGCCATTCTTTCAATACAGGAAACTGTTTAATCCAATGGGAAAGAGCTGAGGAAGGTGTTCATGGAGGCACATACATGTAGGGGAAGCTGAGAAAACTTTCACACTGGGCAAAACCACTTGTTACATCACCCAAGGGCTGGGACAAGGGATGTTTTGGCATGGTACGATCCCTTTAAGCACAAAACCAGTCCCATATAGCCCAGGAGTGTAGTGCAAAGGTGGCATTTGGCGCAGCTTGGCCCCTTTACACTGGTTTTTTTTTTCTTTTTGTCCTTTTTCACTTTGCAAAGTCAGGCTCATATGGCCAGTCAGCCAGGCCAGGCACACCTTGTCAGCAGTGGGAATAAAAATGCAACCACAATTGTCAGCTGGTGCATGAAACAGAATGGCAGAGGTCTCAGAGTGTAGGTGGCGAGGTCAATTGGGTCTAGCCTAGACTGGGGCAGCTGCAGATTTCTGGGACATGGCAAGCAGCTCCAGAGCTACAGAGATGTGGGGCTGCTTGCTGTCCTGCAAAGCAGGGTGCAGGGTAGCCAAAGCGCCCGAGATGGGGAAGAGGGAACTGATGAGTTGAGACAGTCCTTTTTCTTACTGAGGCTCAGGACTGGAAGCGACTGAGCCCAGAATGGCTTTGACTGGGGTGGCCCTTGGCTAACAGGTGAAATTTGCTTAACAATGCAATGGGATTTGTTGGGACTATGGTTACTAAGCGATGTGGTCACATGATATCATTTTATGACCACATTGCTTAGTCCCAACTGGTAAGTCGATGACTATCTGTAGTAAAGATAACATTTTATCAGACATATATTTTTGTTCCTGCTCTGAAAAACTTCAAACTTCTATTTTTTTGTTCACAAATAAATTGTTTTATAAAATGTTACAAAACCCCCTGACACTTGCAACCTCCTGCCAGCTTTCCCATTGCTACCCATTCCGAGTAAACTAGATAGGAAACAGACAAGATGAACTAGTTTTACTTTACTGTAAAGTTACAGTAATAGAATTTTGCAAGTCTGAAGAAACAAACTTCCTGCCTTGACTTTTAATTGTTTGATTAGAGTGGGCCCTTCCTAAGTTTCATTCTCTGCAGGCTTCTCCCTTTCTTGTTTAATAATTCTCTAGGCAGCTTCTCATCCAGTTTTCCCAAGGGCGTTCATACATTCCATTCCACTGATTTTGTTGTGGGAAGCTGGCTACTATTCAATTATTTGTTATTTAAAAATGTCCTTATACCAGAACCACCATATATGGTCACCCACTCCAATATATAATTATGTTAAGTACTTCTTTTTATCTGTTCTAGACAAGTTGGTAAATCAATTTCATTAAATGATACTGTGCTATTAGTGACTCTAGAATATACCCTATCCATATATCTTCCCCCTCTTTATTAACTTCTTCCATGCTGCCATTACTAACAAGAAATATTGAGATTTACAGTAAATCTTGGGTAAAATGAAATCATTTTATTCTATGATTTTTATGTTATATAATTAAGCAATTTAAATTTGTAACACAGAAGTACTAAAATGTTCACCTCCATTAATTGCTCTTCATGTTCTTTATTGTCTGAATTATATATTTGTTTTTTGAGATCTTCCACTGCCAAACAGAGTTTCTTGTAGCCTGATATTTGGAGTAAAGATGATTGTAGCTTTGAAGCAAATCTACCATAAATTGAAAATTCAGAGAATTCTAAGTAACATGTGATGCAATGTGACACAATATTCAACTGCAAAACAAATAGCACTAACAAAACCAAATATTCTATGACAGAAGTGAAATACGTAACTTTGATTTTATAAATACCTGTTTTGTCAATCTAAGATCTATGCCAGGCACTAGAGTATTCCAGTTCTGACCTACCATATTATTGAGTCAAAGTTCCACATAATTACAGTGTGGTATTAAAAAATGTTAAGACTTCCCCATAATTTTTCTGTTCCCTCTTTATGCACATATGTCTAGTTTGATTTGGGTCACAGCTCCTACATGTGGTGCACCTATCCACTGGAGGGGGGCAGTGAGGGGAAAAATAACAATACACTAACAACACAACACCAACAAGCATGTTATATCTCTACTATAGTTTCAATCTACACTTGCAAATTTTGTAAAAAGTAGCAGCAGTCATCAGGCAATCACTGGATAGAAAAATATATTATACCACTGAAATTATACCACTTCCATTACCTAATCTTGTATTCTCTGCTTTCAAATACCTTGGATGATCAAAATTTGGAATAATTTGAAGTTATATTTAACAGTTACAAACAAGTGGCTGTTCAGAAACCATGATATACCAAGATATCCTATCTAGTTTTGACAAATTATAATACTAAATACAGTGTGCACAATTATTAGTCAAGTGAGAATTTTGACCATATCATCAACACCCTATACCAAGGTGTGCATAATTATTAGGCAGCTTCTTTTCCTCAGGCAAAATGGGCCAAAAAAGAGATTTAATTGACTCTGAAAAGTCAAAAATTTAAAAAGTCTTTCAGAGGGATGTAGCGCTCTTGAAATTGCTAAGATATTGGGACGTGATCACAGAACCATTAAACATTTTGTTGCAAATAGTCAACAGGGTCGCAAGAAATGTGTTGAGAAAAAAAGATGCACATTAACTGCCAAAGATTTGAGAAGAATCCAGCATGAAGCTACCAGGAACCCATTATCCTCCAGTGTCGTCATATTTCAGAACTGCAACTTACCTGGAGTGCCCAGAAGTACAAGGTATTCAATGCTCAGAGACATGGCCAAGATAAGGAAGACTGAAACCTGACCACCACTGAACAAGACATATAAGTTGAAACGGCAAGACTGGGCCAACAAACATCTGAAGACAGATTTGTCAAAGATTTTATGGACTGATGAGATGAGAGTGACTCTTGATGGACCACATGGATGGGCTCATGGCTGGATCAGTAATGGGCATAGAGCAGACATGTCAAACTCACGACGTCACGTGATGTTGTGCAACGTATCGGAGCTTTTTTCCCATTGCCGGCAATGGGGTGGGCGCGGTTTCCTGGTGACGCATCCGGCCCACGGGCCGGCAGTTTGACACCCCTGGCATAGAGCTCCACTTCGACTCAGACGGCAGCAAGGTAGAGGTGGGGTACTGGTAAGGGCTGGTATTATTAAAAATGAGCTAGTTGGTCTTTTTCGGGTAGAAGATGGACTCAAAATCAACTCCCAAACCTATGCCAGTTTTTAGAAGAAATTTTCTTCAAGCAGTGGTACAGGAAAAAGTCTGCATCTTTCAAGAAGACCATGATTTTTATGCAGGCCAATGCTCTATTCCATGCATTGAAGTATTCCACTGCGTGGCTAGCCAGTGAAGGCCTCAAAGATGAATGAACAATGACATGACCCCCTTACTCACCTGACCCAAACCCTATTGAGAACATGTGGACCCTTCTTAAATGGGAAATTTATGGCGAAGGAAAACAGTACACCTTTCTGAACAGTGTCTGGGAGGTTATGGTTGCTGCTGCACAAAATGTTGATCGTCAACAGATCAAGAAACTGGCTATATTGGTCACTGATATATATATATATATTGAAATGTTAGAAATGTTTATTTGTACATTTTGAGTTGTTTGTTTATTATTCTCACTTAGCAAATGCAAATAAATGACTGAGATGGGCAGTTTTTTCTTTTTCATTTAGTTGCATAATAATTCTGTACACTAATAGTTGCCCAATAATTGTGCACACATATTCTCATAAAAAGCCAAAACCTCACTTTTACTTTCTTAAATATTCAGATTTGAGGTTTATTAACATTTTGGATTGACCAAGAGCACTGTAGTTGTTGAATAAGAAAATTAATCCTCCAAAATATAACTTGCCTAATAATTGTGCATAGTGTAATGTAAGAATACATACTCACTTCTTCAATTATACTGCAATGTTTCATAATAATTACCATTAATTTAACAAGATATTATCTTCCACTGAGTAAAATAATTAATTTATGAATTTCAGTGAAAGAAATTTCAGTTAATTCTCTATTTATGCCAATATTAATAAATTTACCAGCTTAATCACATCATATAGTAAATTTAAATGTGAACTTACTTCTTTCACATTTAATCTAAGATTAAGATTAAGATTAATCTAGATTAAGATTTTTCTTGAGATTGTAGCAGAGGCTGTAACAGACATACCCTACATCTTTCTGTACTTTAATCTTCTTTTCTTCTATTATGCACGCAACACATTTTTCCACTTCATCTTCAGTAGTGTTCAAAGCATTTTGCAAGGACTAAATGAAACAAAGTAGAAAATTAAACTAAAATGAAAATTAAACAATATATAATATTGATGAGTAATATTTTCTTTGTTTCTTAAATTTTTTTGTTTTATATTTTAACTTTTTTGAATAAAATAAAAATAAATTGAAAAAAAATCTACCTAAACAGCAGAATCTAAATTGAAATAGTTGCTCAGAAATAGCACTCAATATGGTTTATTCTACATTTAGTATTGTTACCTTATTTCAGAAATTATTTGATAACCAATATTGGTTTATTTAACAGATATACTGTAGAAGGGTAAGCAAATCTTCACATCCTGAGAATCATTTATTTGACTTCTATCTCATGTTTTCTTCAAGAGCTGAAGGCAGTGTATTTAGTTCTTTATTTTCTCTTTTTGTCTAAAAACCTTGTGACATAGGTTAAGCTAAGAAAGAGTGACTGGGTCAAAATTACCAAGTAAGCTTCTTTGGATGAGATAATGTAACAGTAATAATCTATTTAGTTTTTCAATTGGAATGAAAACATCAGACATTCCTAAAAACCACCTTCTGATTGTTTACATTTCCAACATACATTTGGCACATCCTTATAATTCTTTGACAATTTAATTGTTAAGCACCAACCCGAAGGTGCTCCGGTGGACATGTAAGAGAGCTAAGAATTATTGGAATCAGATATGTATTTTAATTCTGAGACTTTGTTTTGATGGGAGAAAAAAACTTTGTCTAACTTCATCTCTACTTGGAAACAACTTAGCTTTTTTGCATGAAATGGAAAAAAAAAAGAAAATTTAACTAGATTTGTTTGATTTCAAAAAAATTGTACATTATCATCTAATTCCGTTCAAAATATTATTATATTTTTTTGTTTTATACCAAAGTTGGTAATTATTTTCTGCTGTAGTTCTTTCTTTTGTTGACTGTACCCCCAGTTTTGTTTTCCTTTTCCCCCATCCCTCTAATTGGAATGCCACAACAGTTGTAAATGTGAAAATGTTCAGTGCCATTGTAAGTTTGAATGGTCACTAAATGAACTGTTGTAAGTCGAGGACTACCTGTAGTTGTAAAATGCAATGTCACATGACTGCAATGCGTAGTAATAGCAATACTGGGCCTTTCTAGTTGCCAAGATGTACAGGTCATTAAGTTGGAAGAGATGGGAATCCCAAATAAGAAGTAAAGGGGTGCTGTGCAGAGGCTCTGGGAGGGCTATTGCAATCCACATGTGAGTTTTCAAGAGGCCAGGAAGGGCCTGAGAGGGCTAGCAGAGGCTGCATGAGAGTGGAGAGAATACTATGGGTGGGAGAAAAAGCGGCAGCAACTTACTAGAGCAATTTCTGAACTTCCCTGCCAGGTTTGCCATTGACTTTGCTTCTGGGAAGCAGGCAGGGCACAAATGGCAATCACATGCCTGCAGTTTCCCCTGACATTGTAATTGTGATTCACAATCACATGACCATGGGGATACTACAAAGGCTGAAACTGGAAGAACTTGCAGTACGTCCATTTTTTCAACATCTCCATAACTTTGAATGGTTACTGGATGTAAGCCAAGGACTATCTATAAATGGTTTTGGACTTTCCCAAAACTTATCAACTTAAAATATGAAATTACACAAAACAAAATGCAGTGCACAACTTTACTAACAAGGAAAATATTCATGAAAAAATGTTGCTGAGAATCTTGAAATAACCAAATTGAAGAAGCAGCTGGATTTGGCAAGCATGCTTTTTAATTTCAGCTGCAGAACTCTTTGAAAGTTTTATAACTAACATATTCATAATCAGCACAACTGAATTTGACAGTGCTCTTTTTCTGAACTAATAATCAAGGTTAGTCAACTGTTTTAAATATATTGTGTGTGTCACTGCTTACAAGTATAGAAAGTAAAGTGACTTGAGATTAGAAAGGTACACTTTATAATAGTGCAGAAAAACCTTTGGTTTAGAGAGGCAGTCTGGGATCCTGTCAAGCAGGTCCCTTTTGCAACAACATGGCAAAACCTCTGACTACATTTCTCAAATGAATAAACATTATAACATGCAATGTTTTGAAGGAAGAGGATGTTCTGTATTGCTAAAGCAGTATTTTAGACATTACGTATGTTGGAAACTGATTTTGAAATGCAAGTTAAAAACCAATTCTGATGGTCCTGTTCTCATAAGAAAAACAGGGGAAAATCCATTTTATACATGCAAAATATATCCTACCTTATGCTTCGATGATTCCAGTGAATACTCTGCAATGATAAATGTTAATTATGTTTATTAAAACTATTCAAACTCCCTAATAACATTTCATGTTTACAAAGAATAAATTAATAATAATAATAATAATTATTATTTAATTTATATACCGCCCTTCTCCCGCAGGACATTATTCTGAACATTATTCTGATACAGCCTTGCAAATATTTTTATAACTCAGCAAAAAACATGTTAATGAATACTCAGGAAGTATGACAAGCAAACTACAGGTTTATTGTTTATTATGTCTTTTAAACCATTTGCATAACATGACAAAATAAATTGTAACATCTGTCATAGTGTGAGAGCCACCTTTACTCATTACATGAGTCTTTGTACATGACCATGTTAACAATATGGAAAGTTTCAGCATGATATGATAATGGGTTAGGGCGTTAGGCTATCATCAATAGAGCTAATCAGATGTAAAAAACGAGAAGGAAGCACTAATATAGGCCTATGAAAACAGGAAGGTAGGACTTAAAAAGAAATAGCTCAAATTAAACAAAATGAAAAATGGGGATAATAGTTTCAAATTCAGAAAACTAAGAAGAGATAAAAGTTAGGGGGGGAAAGTCTAAGGGAAAAAAAAAGCACGAAGGGATAAGTGTGTGTGTGTATTTGTGTAGCCCCTCTAAGGGAGATGGACAGTTTAGAAATAAGAAATGTAAATAAATATATAAATAATCTAACTATTACTGTACCAACCTATATGGAAAAAAGATCCAATGTAAAAATAAGCTAATACTTAATGGTTATGTACCATGTATAACCAGATATTTGGCTTGCTATTACAAATCTCGCCAATTATTTAAATGCTACTAAAGGACTTTCAAAAAGTTATGAAAATTACATGGGATTTCAGATCATCTCTTGGCCTGTCATTGGCTAATATAAAAAGATTGTCATAATAATGTATAAACATATTTATTACCTATTCGTAGTGTTCTTTTTGCATTTTTCCTTGTGCCATTGCAAATACGCTGCAATTCACATTTTCCAGTTACCAGTCTTAAGATCCACTTTAGCCAAAATCGAAAGATATTTGTATAGAAATATCTCCATAAGTCTATAATCATTTTCTATAAAAACATAGAAAAGAGGAAAAGGTAGCATAACAAGCATTATAAAACTTGTTTATATACTAGAACATTTGCACAGCCTAATCGCTTATTTTTAAAGAAAGACTGAACTGGTAGCTTTTGTTAATCAACTGATTTTACAATAAATTTATTATTTATTAAGCAAACAGCATACATAAGTACACTGAAAAGCAAAGAATTTCAGATATTACTGCCTGTAAAGCTCTTGGTTTGATTCCATACTCTTCTGTTAACTAATTTTCTCCCCAAAGCACCCGCCTACCTAAGCATTTATTCTGGATGCTAATCCTCTCTACAAGCCATAAAGTTTAACAAAACAGCAGAATGGTATTTTAAAAACGCAAGTTACTTGCATTGCCAAGATTTCAATAACCTGCTCTCTGGTAAAAAAAAATAAAATTTTTTTTTAAGGAGCCAGATACCAATGTTTTCTAATCTGGTTTGAGCTAGTACCTCAGTATACAAAGCCAAATATTGCAGTAGCGGCCTCAATAAGCAATGCTTTAATACTGAAAAAAATACACATATGTTTTCTCCCCCCTCCGCCTTCATAATGTGCCTTATGCCAGACGCTGATAACGCATCATTTTTTCATTTGGCAGCTAGCTGCACAGAACCGAGTCCATATGAGGATTTCCTCCACCGTCCCGCTCCCCGGGCAGATTCCCTTATTCCCCACCCCACCGTCGCTCGGGTGCCCGCCCTCCTTTAACCGTTACCAGGCTGGTTACATCATTCCAGCGAAACCCATCAAAACTGGCCACAGCCTCGCTTCACCTTCACCAG